CATCATCATCCATCATAAGGCTTGGTCCTTGGAGCAGCAGTGAGTTCATCTGGAAGCCAGGAATGCACAGCCAGCCACGGAGCATTGTCACGTCCACAGAACATGAAGCACTGCTCACATCTTGCACAATCACCCAGCTCCATCGCAACCCATGCGGTGCCTCTGCAGCTCACTAAAACAACTTCTTCCATTCGTCTCCCCTCCATCTTCATACCCTTTCCAGTATAAAAGGGGTTGTTGCTGCTGTTGCTGAGTGCCTTCAAGACATTTCTGACTTATGCTGACCCTGACACAGGCTTTCCTGGGGCTGAGAGAGTGTGACTTGGCCAAGTTCACCCAATGGGTTTCCACGGCTGAGCAAGGAATCGAACCCTGATACGTCTGTGTCTGTTTGCTCAGCTGTATTTTTTATCCTCACCTCTATGCTTCAGGTTTTGTTAAAAACTTTGCTGTTGTTAATGGGACAGCTTTAACTTTTTTTATCACAATGACTGGGGGTTTTGCTTTTTAAAAAGAAAAGAAAAAAAAACATTCTGTGAGCTGCCCTGGCAAGACATCAATAAATTTTGGGAAAAGGCAAAACATCAATAAATAAATTTATGAAATAAATAAGTAAAGTAAATAAATTTAGCCTAAGCAATCTCTACCAACCATGCTGTTCCTCTTTTTGTTTTTGCTTTGTCAATTTCCTTCTGTTTACTTTTGTTGTTGTTATTATCATTGTGTGTGCATATGTATGTATATATATATCTGTCTTGGGTTTGTTAGGATTTCTTTTGAACATGTGTGCAAAGTGAGATGATGATGATGATGATGAACCCCAGGACATTTTTTTAAAAAATATTTGCAATTGTTGTTGTTATTTCTTACCTGCCTCTCTCCATGGATCGAGGTGGGGGACAACAACAATTGATAAACAAACAACATCAGTTAAAACACATTGGGTAAAACACACAATAAGATGCACACATATTAAAACAATCCATATCAAAAATTCATCATCTAAAAGTCACGATTTAAGCAACATGCTGCCAAAGAAACGACCGGTAGGTCTGGAAGCCATGTCCTAAAAGCAGTGCCCTTCTGACCCTAAAAATTGTGATTATCTGATATTTAGCAGCCCAGGTGCCCTGCGTAATCCTCAGGCTGTAATTACCTGCTTTAATTGAAATCCATGAACTATTTGCTTTTGTCATTCCTTTGGTTATTGTTGTTATATTGATTTTTTTTTGTGGTTATTATCACTGCATCATATATATATATTTAAAAAATCCAGCTGTCCTGGTGTTTCTTGGGTTTTCATTTCTTTTTTGGAGGGGGGTATGTGTGTAGTGAGAGAGCCAGCTTGGGACAGTGGGTTGAGCGTTGGACTATGACTCTAGAGACTAGGGTTCGAATCCCAACTCAGCCATGGAAACCCACCTAGGGCAAGTCACACTCTCTCAGCCTCAATGGCATGTAATTTGTTTTAATATTGGAATGATTTAATTTCTGTTTTAATGTACCATTCTGCATGCTTTTAATTGGACTTTTTTTTTAATTTCATTTTTTATACACTATTTTTTAATGTTGTGAGCCGCTCTCAGTCCCAGTTTTGGGGAAAGGGTGGGATATGATGATGATGATGACGATGATGATGATGATGATGATGATGCAGCAGCAGCAAACGCCCTTTGAAGAAAGTTGGCCATCAGTGGGAAAGGACTTGAAGGCACACAACAACAACAACAAATGTGTGTAGTGAAAGGATTAATGGGCGACTTAAGAAACCACAGGTAGGTATCTCTGACCAGCCTGAGCAACGCCAGAACAGAGTGGTTTTTGAATGCAATTTCTTTTCTTAAAGTTGGGCAATGCAGGTTGGTCTTCCAGCCTTTTGTGACTCAGAGCGTCTTTGTCGCTGCGGCCTTCTGGCTCTCCGCAAGGTCTCATTGCTAGATCAGAACTCAAACCCAAGCCTCAAACCAGAAAAGACAGAAGCAAAACCATCCTCGCCCACCTCAGACCACATCATATGGCCAAGGGATTAAATGCATTCCTGGTGTAAAAGCATGCAACCTCCGAGCCATGAAAAAAAGGACTCAGCTGTCAGGAAGAACAGCTGTAAAGAAAGATGCAAGGATTCTGCACTTGGAGGGGATTGATGAGCACTTGCAAAAGTTCCTTTTCCTAGCTCCCCAAAGCCCCCAGACAATGTGAGCAGTGATTTTAAGTACTGCCATTCCAAAAAAGTTTATTTTTCTAAGCTCTAGGAGGGACAAGGAAGTGATTCCCAAATTCTGGCCTTCCAGGTTTTTTGGACTTCACTTCCCAGGATCCCCCACTATTGGCCACGGTGGCTGAGGCTTCTGGGAGCTGAAGTCCAAAAAAACCCTGGAGGACCAGGGTTTGGGAATTACAGGGTTAGAAGAAGAGAAGAAGTGAAGGATCAGGTGTTCTCACTGCAAAGGAGGACAAGGCAAGGCAAAATGGAGGGCATTAAAGAAAAACGTAGGGTGTTGCAAAATAAAAGCAAAAAAACAACCACCCCAAAACACTTATATAAATATAAATTCATGCTTATTTGCCATGTTCAAAAGGGAGTGAATTTGGGCATTCCTCCTGGGCAGAAGGCTGAAATGTAGGACATGTCCTGGAAAAGGAGGACCTCTGGTCACCCTGTGGAGGAATCACTGAAGTCTCAGGCTGGAATAATGCAATTTGACACAACTCCATGCTATGGAAATCTGGCTTGAAACTATTCAAAAATAATACGACTTTCCAAAAGCAAACCTTGATTTTGCCATTTTGTATAAGAGACACCCTATTACTACCACATTGTATTGAATGGGACTTGAGCATCCATGGATTTTGGTACCCATGGGGGGGTTCTGGAATATTATTATTATTATTATTATTATTATTATTATTATTATTATTATTATTATTATTATTATTATTATTATTCCCCAGTGGATACCAAGGATACCACTATATTTCTTTTTCTATATCTAAGGTGTGTATTTGTGTATGTGTGTGGTACCTCCCTTCTCCCCTCCATCTTCATACCTTCTCTAGTACAAAAGGGGTTGTTGCTGTTGTTGTTGTGTGCCTTCAACTCATTTCCAATTTATTTCGACTCTATCACAGGGTTTGCTTGGGCTGAGAGTGTGTGACTCAGATAAGGTCACCCAGTGGGTTTTCATGGCCAAGCAAGGACTCGAACCCTGATCTCCAGAGCTGCAGTCCAGTGTTCAAACCACAACACCACACTGGCTGTCCTTGTTATACTGGGAACCTTTTGTGGTCTTCCTTTATCAATCTGATCTGATCAATCGGTGCTGTAAGCATTGTTTGTATAAACTATATTTTTTATGCCTCTTCCTACTGAAAAATGACATGTTGAATACTAAAAATAATCCCACTGAAAAAGAAAAACAAAACAACTCTACAAGTTCCTGCATTTCGTGGTCTTGCCAGATATGCCTAGCCTTTGCAGTCATGCATAGACTGAATGCATGCAGACCTGATTTCTATCTGTGCCTCAATTCAACATGTTAAAATTGGGTGTAGTTGTTCTTTCTGCATGAGTGTTTATAATTTATGTCACGGTTTGTTGGAATCCTACTCAAGCATGCACTTTTGTGGTTCTTCACCTTACCTGACTTATTCTCTGTTGACTGTGACTTACAGAGACCCTATGAATTATGGCTTTGGTTTGAGCATTGGACAATAATTTGGAAACCAGGATTCGATTCCTGCTCAGCCATGGAAACCCAGTGGGTGACATTGGCAAGTCACACTCTCTCAGTCTCGGGGAAGGCAATGGCAAACCTCCTTTGAACAAATTTCCAAGGAAACCCCAGTGATAGGTTAGGTATGGGGTCACCATAACTTGGAAATGACTTGAAGGCACACAACGCATGCAATGCACGAATGACAGACTTTCACCATTCATTCCCCAGTCATCAACAATCCCATCTGAACGAATCCTCTCTGAACAAATCTGAGCAAGAAAACCCTGCAGACCTACTAGACCCAAAAGGCAGCCCCTTTGGGGAATGATCACCCCAATGTTCAACCCTCTCTGAGATATCACCCTGTGCAGCCTGTACTGTCTACACCGCACCTCCCTATTGACGCCTCTGGTTCAAGCAGAGAGAGCTTCTCCCAACTCCACTTAGTTGTGGCTGTCCTCTATTTGGATCCAAAACTAACATAGCTCTTATCTGTATGTAGAGAGATCTTGTAGCACATTGGAGAATAAGGGCCGATGCAGACGGCCCCTAAGGGACGGCTCTGTGCTGCCCTTGGGAACGTCAGATTGGGGCTGCGGCAACCACACGGCGCGGCCCTGATCCACCTTTTTGCCGCTCCTTTGGGGTGGCAAAAAGCTGCCCTTAGTGCCGCGGCGGCTGCTCTTTTGCACCCCTTTGGCACAACGTGTCTGTACATGGAATCATAGAATCCTAGAGTTGGAAGAGACCACAAGGGCCATCCAGTCCAACCCCCCTGCCATGCAGGAACTCCCAATCAAAGCATCCCCGACAGATGGCTGTGCTAGCAGAGTGCCCTGATGCCGCGCAATGTGTGACTGGGCACACAGCGTGATAGCGACATCAGGGTAGCTGGCGTGCGGTCACTCCACCCCAACTCCACCCCCAGGCTAGCCCTTTTGGCCGGTCTGCATAACTGAAAGAAAGAATTTGGCAGCATGAGCTTTCATAGACTTAAGTCTACTTCCTCAGATGCATTTGGAAGAGGAAGTAGACTCAAGTCTACAAAAGCGCATGCTGCCAGTTCTTTCTTTCAGTGAGTCTCAAAGGTGCTACAAACAGACTAACATGGTTATATCTCTGAATAGCTCTTATCTGTACACCTGTCACCTCCAAACTTAAAACATTATTAGCTGGTTCACTGGAAGGTGCATGCACAGGATTGTGACCATGGATGGCTTCCCAGCAGAATCTCTGGGCATGCACAAAGAGCGATGCGTCCGAACCACTAACAACATACTACCAGTGTAGACAGGAACAGCAGCTTTGGTTTATTCACACTGCACAATCATAGCAGTTCGATACCACTTGAACCATCATGGCTCCATCACACAGAATCCTGTCATCACATGGAATTGTATAATCTTGTATTTAGAATTCTCTGTAGCACTAAAGGATTCCCAAGAAAGCCACCAAGCTGCAAAACTCAGGGTGCCATAGGGTAGAGGCATGGCGATTAAAGTGGGATCGATCTGCCATAATTGTGCAGTGCGGATGCAGTTAAACTGGAAAAGCCTTTGACAGAATCCCCTGCTTGGCTTCCAACATAAAAGCTACAAACCTGTCCCTCTTCAAGCAGAAACTCCCCCACCTGATTGCAAATGCCAAATTTGGCCAAGGAGATAGGCTAGTAGGATGTGATTTTGTCACAAACCAGAGGATGGGGAAGGGAGGGAGGAAAAGGAAGATCCCTCTGGGGTTATTTATTCCAGACAATTCAGCTGATTAACACGTTTAAAGCTTTTGAGGTAGGAGAAAGAGACCATCCACCGCTTTTTTCCAAAGACTTTAACCAATTAGCAGATTCATTAGCCTATTAAAATAAAGTATGACAGTATTTCGGAAGAGGTGATATATGAAAGACGTTGCTTTTGACTCAGTAACACAGATAAATCATTTTTATGTCTTGCATTCCAGCCATGGCAGGTAAGCTTGTTCTAATGGGAATGCCAGCTTCATTGCAAGGATGGGCACGAACTGGAGCTCAGAGGACTGCCCTGCTCCCTTTTTTGGTTCCTCTGGAGCTTCCAAGGGATACACGGCATCATCCCAAACACCCACTGGGATGACTGGCCATGACACCAGGCCACTCTTGGTCACCTTTCATGCCTTCCATGGAAAGGGAATTGTGTGAATCTGGGTGGATGCAGCCCCAAAAGAGCATTTTAACCATTTTTGTGTAGCAACAAGTGTTTTGCAGCTGAAAAACAGATTTTTGGCCACTTTACAGTGTGTGGGTTTGAGAGCTCCTATGTGGGTCCCAAAAGTTGGACTGGACCCTTCAAAAGTTGCTTGTAGCCCACGGCTCCACAATTTCTTCCCTTGGCTGGCTAGATTGTACCTACAATCATAGAACAGAATCATAGAATCCTAGAGTTGGAAGAGACCCCAAGGGCCATCCAGTCCAACCCCATTCTGCCATGCAGGAACTCAAAGTCAAAGCATCCCCTGTGACAGATGGCCATCCAGACTCTGTTTAAAGACCTCCAAAGAAGCTCTTGGCATTGGAAGGGACCACAGAGGCCATCTAATCCAATCCCCTGTCGTGCAGGAATATTTCGCTAAAGCACTCCTGAAAGATTTCCATTGAATGGTCTCCAAAGAAGGAGAGTCCACCACCCTCCAAGGTAGGCCATTCCACTCTTCAACAGCTCTTATAGTAATATATATATATAATATTCCTAATGTATGGGCGAAATCTCTTTGCGCTTTGAATTCATTCATTCTCATTCTAGTCTCTAGGTCAGCAGAAAACAAGCTTCCACTGTCTTCTATGTAACATCCCTTCAGACATTTAAAGGTGGTTGTCACGTCTCCTCTCGGTCTTCTCTTCTCCAAGCTGAACATCCCCAGCTTCCTCCATAGTTCCCCATAAGTCTTGGTTTCCAGGCTTTTGGAGAAAAAAGAAGCCAAGTAGATTTGTGTACATTTGTGAGTGTGTGGGTGGGTGTGAGTCAAACAAACACACAATATCCTGCTATCATCTGCATGCTGACGTCTTGAATATGCAATTTGGGAAACGGCATTTTCCAGCATACCAGCTCATGTGTACAAGATCCCATATCCATTTGGGGACACACCAAAACTATCTGTCCAAAAGGCTTGTGAAAGTGCAGAGGAAAGGATACCATTCATGTGGTCAATCGAAGAATATTCATTCATTACACAATCTTGGATACCTGTTCATGCTGTCAAATGCCATGTGAACCCATGGTGCAGGATCGCAGAATCATAGAATTGGAAGGGACCCTCAAATGCTGTCTTGCCCAATCCCCTGCCAATGCAGGAAATCCAAAACTTAAGCATTTTTAGAGGTGGCCACCGAACCTCTGTTTAAAAACTTCCAATGAAAGAGAGTCAGTCCACTTTCCAAGGTGGGCAATGGATGGATAAAAATGATGTCCATACTTTCGACGGAGTTATAAAAGATGCACATAAAGTTGAGTCATGGGCCTATGGTGCTTATCCCAAGTTGCAGGGCCTGTGTCTCCTTACTTATTTCGTTGCTGTCTTGAACACAAGACACATCACATTCAGGAGACAAAGAATGGGCATCGGACAGAAACAACACTGCCCAATCCTGCCACCATTCAAATTTTTGAATTTTCAAAACTGTGTTCTCTGCATTACTGAAAACATTAAGAGCACTTTAATAAGTCTGTTCTTGCTGAAAACCTCCAAGTCGTTTCCAACTTATGGCAAACCTAAGATAACACTATTATGGGGTTTTATTGGCCAGATTTGTTCAGAAGGGGTTTGCCTTTGCCTTCCTCTGAGGCTGAGAGTGCGTGACTTGGTCTACGTCACCCATTGCGTTTTCATGGTTCAGCGGAGATTTGAACCCTAGTCTCCAGAGTCCTAATCCAACACTTAAACCACAACACCACACTACGTCCTGATGGGGTATAACTTTTACCCTCTAGTCACTTTTCCAGGCTTTGCTAGAAAGGGCAACGTTTTCTGGAATTTAACAAAAGCCCAGGAGAATTAAGAACGGTGACAAGAGACAAGGCACAGGCTCAGGTTTAATCTGTGTTGCAGAAATAATGCCATTTGGCACCGCTGTAACTGCTATGGATCAAAGTTATGGAATTCTGGAATCTATAGTTTTGTTTAACCTTCCCTGTCAGAGTGCTGCGGTGCCACGACAAACTACAGATCTCAGGATTTCATAGCATGGCAGTTAAAGCAACATCAAACTGTGTTAATTTTGCAGTGCAGAGGCAGCCTCAGTGCCCCTGAAAACACTGCAGTGCATTCCACAATGCATTTGACAATCTAAGGCCCCATTCACACTTGAGTTTTTGTGCTTGGTTGACCCAGGCAAATTCGTTGATGCAATACCGAACCTAACCCAAATAGAAGTTCACACTACATTTGCCCGGATCAAATCTCTCCGGTGCAATTTAACCCTGTCGAGTTCACATTGACCAAAGTACCGATTAAAAATGGAGCCTCCTCATCGATCGCATTCAATCATTTTCCAGGTTTTTTTCTGTTC